TTTTTTTTTTATTTAATGACGTTTTGAATTGTAAAATCAGCAATAAAAATATTTGTATTGGAGTTCGAATATTAATTTTACCATTTTAAGCAGAGAATTGTCGGTCTTACCTATATATAGATATATAATTTTCTTCATTGATCTAATTTACAATTTATTTGCAATTTTTTGTGATACTTTGCTATATAATTTTAAATCCGATTTATATATATGTATGTATATAAATATATAATTATATATGTATGTATATGTAAATTAAAAAATTATAAAAATAAACCTCACCCACACACAATTACCATAAATGGACCACTGTACCAACTGAAGAAAAGCTTTGTAAAATTAAAAGAACATTTGTAAAAGCAATACATGGAATTGTGTTTAAATCAAGTCAAAAGAAAAGAAACGAAACAAAATGAATGCAAGAAGAGATGAACCCAACCAACAAAAAAAGAAAAAAAAAAAAAACAATAGAAAAAAACTAAAAAAAAAATAAAAAAATAAACAATTGTACACGGCTTTCGTAAAGAAATTTATTGAAGCTTTGTATGATTAAAAAAACCGAACCTTTGTGTTTTTATTTGATTTATTTACATACATATACATAGGTATATACACATACATATATATGTACATATGTATGTACAAACCACACTCTTAATGTTTCCCCTCACAACAGGTTATAGCGGCACGTTTCACACAATCTCCACAGACGACGCATGGCTTCCACGTGTGTTTTGCCCACACACTCTCGCTTGTTCCAGACTCTTGTGGAACAGTATTTCTCATTTTCAATATGTTCATATACATACATAACTGCATATGTTTGTATGTGTGTAGATATGTTGTATAATGCACTGCAGAAGATCAGATCCACATGTAGAAAGAGGAGAATAATCGAACAACGCGGTGAGAGAGAGAGAGAGACAGCGAAAGAGCTTTGTTTTTTTTTTTTGTTGGTTGTATGAAAATTGAAATACCCTTGCTGAGATAATCATCCGTTGCTTTTTTTAAATCTTTGTGGATATGCAATAATCATGTTAATATTAAAGGTCATTAGCGAGCACAAACTTTTAAAAATAAATTCAAAACAGTGTTTTCTAATAGACCACCTCAAACAGCATGATAAATAATATTGGTATCTATAAATATAAATAGTTATCCCTATGTAAATGGGTCATATCATACGTACCTTAAGCTACCAATCATCTTTAAGCCATGTCCACTTTCCTAAAACCAACAACCAAAACCCCAAACAATTAAACAAAGAGATTAAGACATTTTTCAATGGTCCTCTACACGACAACGTTGCGGATATGATGTGACATGGAGGTTATTCAAACGTCATTGAATTTTGACTCAAAGGTAGGTGGGTAATACCCCTCAAAACTCAGTGTCAAATGAAAACAGAAATACAAGAAAGACACTCAAAACTGGTAGACAACGCTCCACTTATTAGCATACACTCATACATATGTACATATGTATTTATGTGCATATGTATTTATGTGCATATGTATTTGTGTACATATGTATGTATGTATGTAGCTTTATATGTTGAACATGACGCATTTCACACGGTTTCTTCAAATTATGTAATATTATCTGACTGGCTTATAAACCTAGTACCTAGTATATGCACACATACATATGTATGTATATATGTATGTACGTCTTTGCATAGGTGCTAGTTAACAGTATTAGTAGTGGTTACTCGACGTCTCTTTTAACAAAGGCAACAAGGAAAAACAAACTGTAAACGTGCCTGGCAGCAGCTTCGCCTCGACGTCACTCTTTAAAAATTAAGCGCAGTTTACTGTAAAGAAGAAAAATGATCGATCATTTCTAGTTGCCGATTAAACACTGTCGCAAAATAAAAACTGGATTTGCAGCAATTGTATGCACGTACATATGTGAGTACATACACACAAGCATACGCACTTGTATGTATGTATGTATTTGCCATTAATTTCAACATGCGAAATCACTCCATACACAAAAAAAATAACACAGTAAACGAATTTCGTGCCCTGTGGAAATACATACATACATATGTATGTATGTACATATATATGTACATTTCTACATGTGTATGTAAGAGAGCACGATTTCTATATTTAAAGATATACATACATATATATATCTTATATATATATATATATATATATATATGTACATATATACAACATATGGATGTATATACATATATGTACATACATATGTATACCCGTAGTTAGCCAGGATTTTTTCCTGCTAAATACATACACACATGCATATGTATGTAGACATGTATGTAACAAAAAAAATATTCGCTCTAGAAAGCTGTTAGGAAGCTTTCACTGTGCTCGCAGCTGTTTATACATACATACATACATATGTACATGTGTATGTATAATACTATATTTATTATGCATACATACATACATATGTATGTACATGTTTACGAATGCGAGCACGCAATTGCGTTTAATTATACATACATATGTATGTATGTATGTATTTACATGTAGTACACATACATTCATCAGTTTATCATATGTATGTATGTACGTCATTTTAAAGAAAACGCGTAAACAACATTATGTTTTGTTATTTTTTCTGCTATGGGTTCTACTTGCTATAATTGCAATCAACAATAACGTGCAGACAAATACAGTTGAACGAATAGCCACGACACACTCATAATCACAAATACGGTCATGGGTGTGTACACACAAACGTATGAGTATTGTATGTATTGAGACATAGCGCGATGTTGACGTTGACTCGCTTACGTCTACCGAGCGCGCTTTCTTCCAACTACCGCGTGCTTCACCTCCCGCCCCTTTGGCAGTTGTTGTAGCAATGATAGCGCATACGAATTCATGTAAAAAAGACTAGAAAAAACAACACGACGGGCGCAGAGCGGTGGTCCTTAGTTTTGTCTACGCAGTTTGTATCTGTGAGATAAATAGCGGCCTACGTACATACATATATACATATGTATATAATGACAAACGTAATTTTGTAAGTGCGTCTGTCTATATGTAACCATTAAATACCCTCACACGCGCACGCACGCACAGATATGCACGCATACACGCAGTCGGACGTCGCTCATGTTTACAAGCTTTGTGCGTTGGTCTCTGAAGCTCCGGCAATACATACAAACTTATTATGACATATGTATGCGTATGCGTGTGTATACACACACATGTGCGACGTATGGCATACATACACACATAAATGCTACGTAAGCGTCAAAAAAAAACAAAAATAATTTTTGGAACACAAAACTTACAAAAGTGTGTGTGTGTATGTATTATTTTGTTTATGCGTGTATACATACCTACATATGTATGTATATATACGGCTGTTTGCGGGAGCGCTTGCCAACGGCTTTTTAAAGCTATGGAATTATTTTATTTTACTGCGCAATTTCTGATATTGATTTGCCCGCTATTTTTTTTGTTTTGCTTGCTTTTGTTTTTTTCTTTTTTTGTTTCTGTTTGCTTAAAGTTGCTGCCGCAGCGCCGTTGGCATTGCAGCCAGCGTTTTGTGATGCAAAGACGTGCATATTCATACATACATATGTATGTATGTATGTATATGTATGTACACACATATATGTATGTATGTTTTTATTGTTGCATAAAGCAGTTCATAAACAAATGTTTGCTCATTTCTGTACATACAACATACATAAATAGTTTATAAATTGTGTACATTTCACATACATATGTATGTATGGATGTATTCTATGCAAAATTACATTTATATATACATATGTTTGTATGTAAATATGCATGCATAAATGATATTTGCACAGAATGCTTGGCGCTGCTTGCTTTAAAGCATTACATTGAGAAGCAAGCAGCATGAAAACATACACATATGTACATACACACATACATACATATGTATATTATGCCGATTTCAGCTTCCCAAGGTATACATATGTAAATAATGAAACACCGACTTCAGATGGCCTACGTGACTTGCGGCAACACAAAGCAAAGTCATCATAATCGAATTTAAGCAATTCAAATAACCACAATATATGATTCGATTTATAAATTTGTCCAAGTCATGAGAGTTATTCTATTTATTGCATTTCATATTTACAATCGAACATACATACACATGTACATATGTATGTATATTCAAATACTGTTAGAAAAAGTTCTTTAGGTATTTAATCACGTTTTGAGTGATTTCTGTATACAAAATAAACTCTAAGCGCACACATACATATGCATAATATACAATATACACACATAAATATTGATTTCTATATATGTACATATACGTAAACAAGCACACTTCGGGATATTTGAATAATGTCGGTCGAAAGTCATTGTCTATTTATTTACATATAATGTTCATGATGCACCCTACCTTTCCACGAAAAGTATACTGCCTTAAATATATGTATGTACATATGTACATACATATGTATAAAGGAAAATTATATTAAGTAAAATACAATACTTCGACTCATTTGAGTTTAATGCATTAGTTTCTATTTGTTTCTGTTCCCTTCCGTCAGTATTAAAAAGTAAGCTTGAATCGGATTTCAAACATAATTTTCATGAAATTAAATCCACGTGAGTTGTGGATCGCCTTTGACAGAGTGGCAGAGGCCATCGGAAATTGAACCCTGTGCGCTGCCCGCTGCCTGATGGCTGATGGGTACTGCTGCCTGCCATTCATTGAGTAGTAAAATTATTATCAGTTCAATTGAACTCGGTGAGTGGAAGATGATAAGCCGGCGGGCGCAGTAATAAATGGTGTGATCAGTCGCGCATCGCAGCTGAGAGTCCAGTTGAGTTGATTCCAGCTACGTTGCAAGATGTCCCCCACTTGGCTAATACTGTGCATCGCCGTCCTAGGACTGTGCCAGGCAAGACGAGTCAACTAATTCAACTCTCAACTATTGTCAACGTCCTATTTTGAAACCTAGGCAAATGTTATATTTCACTTTGCGCTGGATTTCCATGTGAAACAGCCGGAAAATTCAACGGAGCCCATAGACAAAACCATCCTGGTGGATCATAATCAGGTCTTCATACAGGACAGTAAAGTAAATTCGTCATGGCTGGAGCAAGATCGGTATACTGAGGAAGCGTTGCACTTATTGATGGACACCAAGCGCGTGGTGCAACAACTGAATGTGGAGCTCTCGCCCCTAGTGGGCCGAAGCAACGATCTCGCAGCTCGCCTCAAGCAAACCATGCGCTATGCAAACGATGTGGATGCGTGCCTAGAGAATGGCCATTTGGGCCAGCAGGTGGAGCAGCTGCGCAAGTATGTCGCCCTGGTCGACGCCCTCAAATTGCCGAGCAGCACGGCCGGATCGCGCACCCTGGAATTCGTGGTGCTCAAGCTGGCGCTGGAGAAGTACCAACTGCCAGCTAAGCAGCTGCAGGTCGCCGACTATCTGCAGCGGGCGGATGCTGCGTGGACGACATATAAAAATACCCAGGTCGTTCTAGCAGAGAGCTAAATCTAGAATTCCTATATATACATATCTAGCTTAAATTAACTATATTCGTAGATCTATGATTTTCTCGTTTCTGTATTTCTGGAATTGAAGAGATGTCAATCTAAAATGTACATATGTATATATACATATGTATGTATGTATATAATTGATGTTAAAATTTTACTAGTTTACTTAAGTTATTGATAAGAATACAAATGATCTAATACAATTAATATATTAAACTGCTTGTTTCAACGTGAAATATAAATAGGTATCTTATATGCCACGAAATGCAGGTAACTTTTAAGACTACAAGCCAGATCCTCAAAGAGAAAACCAGTTTGGGCATAAAATAAAATACAAACTAAAGGAGATATTGTACAAATGAAAGTGCTACTTGAATGTAATTTGGAAAATATTTAATTAACTTATTTAAAGACATGCTTTTTAATACATTTTCCTATAATTTGTCATATGTATATGTATTTACTTGTAATAATTAAGTACCATCACATCAATCAATGCGAGTAGGAATAGTTTTTTGTAAGTCCCTGAGAACAAGTTTCATCACACTGCGCAAACAATACCAAAAGCATAAGAAGGGTTTCTACTGTGCAACTGTATATGGTTGAAATATGTACATACATATATCCCCAAGAGCTGAAAAAATAAGTGGGCTAATATTTTATAAGTGTAAGCATTATACTAGCAACAACTTGCATTTCATTTTGTTATTTTGATATCTCTTTAAATTTTGATTTTATGTTTATATACGTGCATACGATAATATATTATATATTTTTAAATATGCTTGATGAGTAAGCTCTGGTACCACAGCATATACATATGTGTATGAATATGTGAATGTATGTAAATACATACATATGTACATACATGTATGCATGTATATCGATAATCCTAGTTGAAGCTTGTTGTTTAGTAAAGAAGGGATCACGAATGTATAGGTGATATTGAGCTTAGTAGTATTAATGGAAATACTGTAGGACAAAGGTTTTTAGACAACGAATTCAGCCTTACATTTTAATACATGGCTATGTATTCACATACGAATTCGATGTAAGCATATGTATGTATATTCTAAGGAAAGAGCCTGAACAAAAGCCGACTTCTATTAAGTGAAACAATAAGTAAAGGTGGCATTCAGAAAAAAAAGGACTTCCTGTCGCTGCGTTTCGGTGTTCCACTTCAATGCTTGGCATTGCTACAGGTACAGGCCCTAGCGAGAGCGACCGGGAGAGACGTTCATCTGACCTAAATCTCCCCTGGGCTGGTCCCATGGAAAATACGTTACGCACGCTGGGAATACGTTATAAGTGGAGGACCTCAGGTAGTCGCAGACGAACACAGCCACACACAAAGTGCGCCGACTGCCGCTGCCGCTGCCGCTGCCAGCTGCCAGAGCCGTTGCCAATGCGCATGAAGAGAACAGACGGCGCAATAGGGTCGCTCCTCTCGCCGTTCCTCAGGTCTGATATTCCCGAAACCCGAAACCACCACTACAAACGCACAAGCTGAATATCAGAGTTGCCCACAAAAAAACTGCCAAATTTAGCAGTCAGTTGCAGAACGAAGAAAGGAAAATATACAGTTCTTAAACAGCAGGAAAAGGTTAGAAATCCCGCCGTTTGCGCAATTAAATAGCTATATTTGGCGGGAATCTGAAGGGTTCTTGTCAAAACTGCTGCTTGTATATGGGTATTCTTGCATATGTATATACATACATACATACATACACACATATGTACATTTGTGTTGTGCGGGTAGGCACTTAAATGTGTGTATAGTGAAACTCTTATCTCAAATATGTGATACTCAATCACTTACAGTACTTGCTGTACTTGTCTGCTCTCAGTTTCCCTTAACGCTTCATTATGCTGTCAATAAGAACTACCATGAACAAAATTTTAATTTTTTCGTTGTATACATATGTACATA